CGTTGGCGGATTCGCCCGGACCCTGGCTTCTCGGGTGAGGCGGGTCGGCCGTTGGCGGATTCGCCCGGACCCTGGCTTCTCGGGTGAGGCGGGTCATTAGCGGAGCAGGATGGGCTGTTCTCCCTGTGTACGACACTGGCAGCTTGACATCTCTCTCCACTGAAGCACAGGCTGAGAGATCATCTTTAAGTGATTGTACTTTAATGCTTCACAGAGGAGCTGTGATGAGTATGGCAACCATCCGCTGCATCAAAGCTGCATTGGTGGGGTGGAGGGCCAGAGGGGGGATACTGGGCCACAGGGGTGTTTGAGTCGTGTCACTTGTAAGTGCTGCCCATTGATAGTGCCTTGGTCCCCCAGGCTATGCGGAGGCCCAGTTACGGCAGTACCAGCGGCTCACCAGGCAGATTCAGCCCGACATGGAGAACTACGCGCGTCAGCGGGAGGAGTGGTGAGTGTGCACTGCCCGTCCCTGCAGCCGTAGGGGAAATGTCAGTGTTTGGGGGTCAGAGCCGTGCTGCTGGACGTGACCAGCGCCTCTGTGCACTTGTCTACTTCCTGCTTTATGTTTGTAATCAGTGCGTAATGCTGTCACTTCCTGTTCCAGTGGGGAGGATTTCCACCCCACCTCCAACAGCCTGATTCATGGGACCCACGTTCCCACCAAGGAGGGCATCGACCGCATGGTGGAGGATGTAGAGAAACAGTGAGTTTCCCTGTGTTCTGGTGTTTCTGAGATGCGAGGGGGGCAGTGTGATTGCTCCAAGGACCGTCTGACCCTGCTTTTTAAAAGGACTTTGGATAAAGTAGATAAAATGTGAATGAGTGGGGTCCAGCGCCCTGTGCAGGTGGGTGACTCTTTCTCCCTTAATCGCAGTCAATTAACTGAAAATCTGTGTTCCTTATAGTCACTATTACATCTAGTCATTTTACTGGGCCTAATTCTATGTCTGCCCGATGCTTAATAGGTGGTGGTTGTGTTATGCGGTGTTCCAGGATGCTGGTGGCAGCTGTAACACCCCTGACCCCTCTACCTCCTCCTCCTGACCCCCCCGCCCCCCAAATAGGATTGCAAAAAGGTCGAAGTACAGCCGGCGCCGGGCCTATAACGACGATGCGGATATCGACTACATCAACGAGAGGAATGCCAAGTTCAACAAGAAGGCGGAGCGCTTCTACGGGAAGTACACGGCTGAGATAAAGCAGAACTTGGAGCGCGGCACAGCTGTCTGATGCCCCCAATCCCCAGTCTGCTCTGTGTTCCTGCCTCGCTGCCTTTCTGCTCGTGCCCCCAGACCTCCGAACGGGAACTTTTAAAAATGCTTTCTGTCCTTTTGTTTGTGCGAAAGAGAGGATCTCGGATGCAATAGCATTCCTGTGGTTCTGTTGCTTAATAAAATGTTGGAATGTTCTCCTGGTGCCTCACTGCAGTTTGTGTGTGTGTGTGTGTGTGTGTGTGTGTGTGTGTTAGCCTTTGCGTGTGATCTTGTGGCGGCTGGTATGTGTGAGGGCATCACCACGTCACAGCGGGTCCAAGTGGGCAGGGCCGCTGCTTGGCATCTCCCCCATCTGTCGAGTTGTCAGTCCCTGGCCAGGATGGTGGCTATGTGAAGGCTTGTGACTCAAGAAACGGTCAAAGGCTGCAGTGCCGATTCCCATGCTCCAGCCAGCCATGGGCACGTCACTGCGCCCCCTAGTGGATCGACGTGGCAGTGCCTTGAGGTCCTGCACTGATAAGCAGCATGTAATTTTCATAACGCGAGTCAGATGTCCTTGTGTAAGGTTTCCATCAGTATGAATTGGAGTTATGAATCATCCTCAAAGCGTATAATAATGGAAGCCTTTCCAAAGCCATTTCAGACTCACAAGTTGTTTACGGTTTACTTGCTTCAGTCCCGGCGATGCAGGATGCAAATGCAGTCTTTTGATACCCAAATCTGGTTGTATTTGTTGGGGGAGGGATGGGCTGTCCCTGTGCTAGTGAGGGCTTTAGCTTGGGTAGCCATACCCTGTACAGAGCTCTGCCACGTCTGGCGGTTGGGTAGGGGCTCTGTCATGTGGCTACGCTGTCCAAGAGTGTGTGTGTGTCCCATTGGCTGGCAGGGACTTGCCCTTTTGGGAAGGGGGGGACCTCTGCCGAAACAGTCTTTGAACAAAAATACGCGTCATGTGACAGCGGCACAGCCATCGGGATATTCGTGGCATCTGGATGCAGAGTTTACCATGTGAAGCTTGTCAGAGAGCAACTGGCACTTTTTCCCCAAGGAGAACTGAAGGCGTTCTGTGTGGCAGCCACACAATGCGCTCCTTTGTGTGAGCCTGTAAACAAGAGGCTCTCTTTTTATTTTTAAAGATGTGTTAAGATGCGTTAGTGGCTTTGCAGGAATGTTCCGAATTTCAGGGTAGAGTTCGCCTCCGGCGAACGACAAAGATGATTATCTCACATGCCACGGAAACAAACGGGCGGGGGTGCGTGTGAGTGCGTGGCCCTCTCTGGACTAGCTGGGTGTCGGAGAGCTGTTACTGCTGGCAACTGGGACGGCAGTCTAGTGCCCACTCTCAGGCTTGGGGAGGGCTTTGTGGGTGTGGACACCACCTGCATGCGAGAGCACAGTGATCCTGTTGCGCCCCCCCCCCATCTACGGTTAGTTCACATGGCCAAAGAAGCAGGGAAAATTATCTTGCTACTCTGTGAACTCCCAAGTCTTGCTCGCTGCTGGCCGAGTTTTCAGCTCTTTTTTTAATATGATGGTGACAGTGCGCCCCCAGCTGGTGGCTTATTCTATTACATCTTTCATTACCCTTGTTTTTTTCCCCATGAAAGATGTTCTGGTCTGTGGATCTCACTGCAGCACGTCAGAGCCGAGGCTGTGTGTGTGAGATGGCAGTAAGCTGCATGATTATGTGGCTGTACAGACACTCTCCTACTGTCCCAGTGTGCTGACCTGTAAACCACATGACTGTGTTGAGGCGTTTGGTGAGGGGAGCCTGCGACACACCGTGCTGGAGTGTCTCCACCATCAGGTAAGTTGGGTAACACGTCTGCTCAGATCAGCTGCTATGAGGCATGCTGGGATTGGGCTCTGCTTGGGTAGGGTGTACATTACTAGCAGTGTGTAAGTGGGAATGAGATACCAGGCCTGTTTCGGTCTTAAGAAGGAGGCAGAGTATTGGATGAGTCTTTATTTAAACTGCAAAAACCAAATATATACACAGCAGAACAGCAATGATAAGCTTATAAAAAAACATCCCACCTGCACGAATTCCTCATCTTCCTCCAACTATTTGATTTTATATCTGAAAGAAAACATCTAACATTTTAATCGGACAGACTGTCCAGGACATCACAATGTCACTGCACCTGGCTACAGCGCTACTGTGTTTTTGAAGGTGGGATTTTGTCACTCAGGAGAGGGAACGACACTCTTTCATGGGCACCCATCGGCCGTAAGGGCTGTGGCCAGCTGCCGGCTCCTCCCTTCTGGCCGCGCTCTCCAGACCAGCGGGGGGCCTGGATGTGGGGCGTTTGACCACATTATTCTGCAGTGAAAGATGAGGACTAGGAGTTAGACGACAGGGGGAGTACGTGCGAGGAGCCTGGTGGTACGCCGTGGGGTCAGGGTCACGTGTGAGCAGCCTGGAGGTGGGGCCCTCATCAGCTGCCTCCGTTTGCGAAGGGAGAGGCTGACGTAGACTGGAGACATCCAGCGACCCCTCGGCTGCAGGAGGCACCATCGCACGCGCACACACGCACAACCACCTCTATGAGAGAGAGGATTCTTCCTGAGGTCCTAATGAGGGACTCTATGGCTACGTTCACACTACAGGACAAATGTGGCCCAAATACGATTTTTTGCTCATATGTGACTCGGATCGCATTTTTTTTCCATCAATGTGAACAGCACAAGTCACGTGGAATCTGATTTTTCTCAATTCCGGTTTGGGCCACTTCAGTATGTGGTCATAAATCGGATACAGGTCTGACTTTTTCGCAAAGCGACCTCAGTCTGAACGGTGAAATCGGAATTCATGCGACTTTTACGTCACTCTCGATCGACGTTCGTCAATTCTGCGCAGGCGGAAGTCACCATATGTCCCCGTCAGAGTGCCACACATGGAGGAGAGCACAGAAGTTGGCCAGTGGAGGGACAGTGAGGTGCTGGATTTAATAAGTATTTGGGAAGATAAATCTGTTCAGGCAAAACTGGAAGGTTCATATCATAACCGAGCAGTTTTCGAATCAGTAAAGTGACGTCTTTGTTTTTGCACATGCGCGTCATTGTGTCTTTGTTGTTTTGTGCGCACACGGGCCACTTCAGTATAGTGAACCGTTCACATTGAAATCTGATATTGCCCACATTAAATGTGAATTGGCAAACAAAAAATCCGATCTGAGCAGGAAATCAGAATTTAGCATTAAGCCCTGCAGTGTGAACATAGCCTATGTGCATAAGCACATCAAACGCACCTACCCCCCCCCACCCCCACAGGGCCCATGATGTCACCTCATCCTCCTTCAAGGCTCCCTGAGGTGACATTCAGTCATATGATCAATAAAACAGAAACCGAGTACATGAAGCTACACAGTAGGCACAGAGGGGCGGAGTGTCATTAAAACGCAGGCAGACCTGCCTCACCATGGTTCATGGCACCACAGAAATGCGCTTCAGTGAACAAGCGCACAGCACAAGGAGAGGCAGGTGTGCCAAGGCCCAGGGGCTCTGGCTGCAGGAATAGACACACCTCGCTGGGGCTCCCTGCGGCCTCCAGTTTCAGGTACTACTCTGGCCCCAGCAGGGGCTGTACGCTGGCAGCCAGCTGCAGGGTCGACACCCCCAGGGCCTTGGTGGTGATGGTCTGGGCGATATGCAGCAGCTCCTGCTTCTCAGCCGGGAGACGGGTGGCCTCACCTTCTAGGCTCAGGTTGGTGCCAATGGGCGACCTGGACCGGTTTCTCCTGTAAGGGCGAGGGGCTGTGTCGGTAGGAGTGCGAGGGGCCCCAGGTGGCTTCTTCAGCACCACCTTGAGGCAGACATTGAGCATTGCAGGTGCTGCCTGCTCACATTTCTCACCTGCAGAATCCATGCTCACTTTATTTGTGGAGAGCACGTTAAGTCACGTTAAAGCCCTTTGAGCCACAACTCAAGTAACTTAAATTGGCTGATTGGAACAGGCCAAGGTTTATTATACATGTTTTTTTAATCTTAAATAATAAAGTATTGGGATATATTGTGTGGGGAACTTACAGCTGCTTGCTAAATATATCCCACTACTGTGGAATATTTGCCAGAAGAATGTTAAATGACGAACAGCTCACGTCAACTTCAGCCATTTTCGGGTCCGTACTCCCCCTACCGGCCAGCCGTGTAACTAGGGGCACCCGTTTCTCGAAAGTTCCGGAGAGTTCGCTCCCGTTACCAGGACAACGCGACTAGCCCATCGGCAGCCGGCGAAGTCAATACGTCGAGAAGCTGTTTAGCTGCTTAAAATCGAAAACGTCACTATTCGGATGGTTTCGGTTTACGCAAATGTATACACGACTGCCTACGTTACACTTCGTTTACAAAACTGTCAAAGTTACACGTTCGGAAATGTAAATTCGGATGTCCATCTACATGAATCAACATAAAAATATTGTCACATATGAAACTACAACTTATGCTTGCAAGCAGATCCCCTCGGTCTTCATAATCATCTCTGAAGAATTCGAAATGGACCAGTAAAACCAGTAATATTAGCCAAGGCAACAAACTCAAGTACAGACTAGACAGACGGATTGGCAGTCCCTCTATGGGCAGTCCGGGTCGTTTCTCTGCCTGGTGCTCTGATTGGCTGTCCGGGTCGTTCTCTGCCTGGTGCTCTGATTGGCTGTCCGGGTCGTTCTCTGCCTGGTGCTCTGATTGGCTGTCTTGCGAATGAAGTACTACAATGTTCCTAAGCTCCGTGATTACTGCTCCCGTCTGAATTCACCGCTTTGTTAAAGTAATAAAGTAATAAGCATCAAACAAACACGTGTCAAGAATGATCGATGAACCCTCTTATCTTAGAAAAAAAAACCGTTGCGTGCACTTTATTCCAGCGTTTTATCAAGGATCGATCTAGTTGGAGGAGGGGACGGGCGGATTTTGACCTTATCGCACGCCCCGTGCAAAGTTCCCTCATTTTCAGGGAGACCCCAGTTACAGCCGTGCGATCATTATCTCTCTCCTGACTCGCTATGGAGCTCCTAGATGTCCTCCCTGAGAGATTCGGCTTCGTGGTCCTCATTTTTGTCTACAGCTTGGTTATGCTCATGTACCTGGCGATCAAGGTCGGCGCGGCCAGGAAGAAATACGACATTAAGGTGGGTCGGGCGGGCTGAGTGCTGCTCAGAGGCGCTGACACGCTGTGAGTGTGCAGAAACGCTGCTCTTTCTGCCTGTCTGGGTGTGCAAAGGTGAATGCTGTTCCAAGCGTTCGGGTTAACATGGAATTTGCTAATTGTTCTCCTTAGCCAATGTATGGTGAGCAGGGAATTGAGACTGTGTTTTATAAATGTAGCCTACGACGTTTAATAATTTAAGATTATCAGAGACGTCGACGTTTTCCGGTTCTGGACTAGAGTCGGCCCTTGGTCGGCAAAATCTTTTCCTGGGGCCTACCCACCCCCCCCACCACCAGTCGGAAGTTGTCATTTGGTCCGAAGTTCCAAATTTCCTCGTTGCCCCTAGTATATAACTGAGCCACTGTGTTCATTCTCCTCCGCAGGGCTTTCGCTGTAGTCATGCATGAAGTATTATTCCAGTTGAACTCTTTAATAGTTAGTTAGAATTTATTATTTATGTGAAATTTCTGTTTTATATTTTCGGTATGTATTTTTTATCTTTATAATGCACCATGGGGGACCTGTGTGGAACGACAGTTCAATACAATGTGTATTTTGTTAGTTAATGGATGGATGTATACTGTGTATATTGTTGTATTGACCATAAACCAATCTTGCATAGTCCGTACTATCCCTAGTGATCATTACACGGATATTTAGGCACCACACTGTGAGCTTCTCGTTGTTTTTTCGCTGACAGTACCCAACTATGTACAGTGAGAAAGAACAGATCTTCAACTGCATCCAGAGGGCTCACCAAAACACTTTGGAAGTTTACCCCCAGTGGCTCATCTTCCAGACCATCGCTGGCCTCGTCTACCCGGTGTGTACCACCGCGCTCAGTTGCTTGAAGGAGAGAGCATTCTGGGGCCGATTTCGGTAACGATGGTGCACTTGGAGAGCTTCGGTTAGTGCAGTGAGTTTCCCTGCCTAGAGACATTAAATGAGCTCCCCTGACATGCTTATGGAGCGGGGGCTGTTGGGTGTTATAGTCCCCAGCCCAGAAGTGTCTGGGCGTAGATCTTATCTGAGACACCACCTGTCCTGAGAAGCCAGGGATGAGCTGCCAGTTACCATTATCACTTCCTGCTGTTTTGTTACGGCACTATGGCCATGTGGCGCAATTCCCTGAGGGTGATCCGGCTCGCAGGATCCTCATTGCTGAGGGCCCGAGCGGCTGGACCAGGCCGAGGGGACGGCCACGTAACACCCGGCTGCGGCAGATGGATGGCCAGTGTGGGACTGGACCGTATGCCTGCCTGGGGGGTCACCAGCCGGAATCCCGAGTAGTTTTGCCGTGTGGTGGGTGCGGCAATGCGCTGCATCAGCACACGCACCCCAACCTGACCTGATGACCTGACGGGCGGTATTGCAAGTAAAACTCATTGCCCGGAGTTTCGTTGCAATAATGGTAGGCATATTGCTGAATGATTAGATGCAAAAAATTTATGTAGAAAAACCCTGAAATGTACGCTGTGCCGGAACCCGTACAACAATGCAGAAGATGATTTGGAATTTGCTCAGGTCATATATATTTAATGTTGAAGTTTCATCACGTTACTTTAGTTATTTATGTTAAAGCCACTCCACACTTTAATGAAATCGGCAAAACCTCCGTTAAAATGTACAACCTGAACTTAAAAAATGACATTGGCCCTTTCTTAGTGCTGGTGAAGTAGTTTAGACAAAGCCAGTCATAGACATACTGACCATCTCATTGACTTGAACCCATCACTTAAAAATCTCAACTACATGCGTGTCCTTCCCTCTCTCTCTCTGGCAGATGACCGCCTCGGTGCTGGGTGTCATCTGGGTCACCAGCCGCTTCTCCTACGCCTGGGGTTATTACACCGGCAGTAAGAGCCTTTGGCCCGAATGGCCACTTTTTCAGTCTATTTCTTCATCTCTTTCAATCTGTGATGTTTTTGCATGTATGCATTGTCAGTCTGGACTTGCCGCTTAATATAACCGTATGTGTGACCTTGTACTCTGCACATTTGGAGTTTGCATGTTCTTCACACAGGTCAGCTGTGGGTGCCCCACATTTGGGAAGGTGTGTGTGTGTGTGTTTTGTGCTGGATTGGCATACCATGCGATTAGATCACAGATGGCCTAATAGTGCAAACAGTTGTTGAAGATGCATGAATGGATGAGAATCAGAGAAGCTGATTTTTCACTAAAAGCTTCTGTTCTTGGGCCTCCTGCACACTAATACAGTCGACTTTCTTTTCTTTTTCTCTTAGATCCTGTGAAAAGGATGAATGGAGCCTATGGCTATGTCGGCTTCTTCGGAGTCGTCATCCTTTCCATTGCAGTTGCTTTGCAGTTGCTCAGAGTGTTTTAATTGTTTACATTGAAAAAAGCTGTCAGCGCCCTCCAGTGGACATCATTTAATTATCGCTTAGTTTTATGCCATGATGGCATATAAAATGTTTAATTTTGCTGGTGTAACGATCTGTCTTTCGAATGTTTGCATGATTCTTGGAGTGCTTTGGTGGCAGAATGAGAGCAGTACTCTGGGGGCGGGGGGACAGATCCTGGCCAAGTGTCTTTCCTCTCTGCCTCTTAACTGCCCTCATTCTGTATCTTTCCTTTAGTCAAAGTCAGAATGTGGACAGTTTAGTCCTGTTTGTGTTGCATTCTGAGTCAGTAACGGTATCTTCCATCCCAATCCTGACCTGCTCCCCTGTCTAGTACACAATTAGCTTTGATTGGTTGTGGGATTCCTTACGCTAAAGTGTATGGGGAGCAAAGCCCAATCTCCAAATATATGATGTTCTTGGGGTGCCAGCCAGTTTAACCCTAGCTACCACATACCAGGATTTCTTGATTTAGTTAGCTGGGTGCTGCTTGTTGGCCTTTTTAAATCTGTGGTTTATGCCCTTGGTGACTTGCCCTTTTTATATATGTGCCTTAGACATACAGTGGACCAGCCAATGGGCTCCCAGTGTGGAGGTCAGGGCCTGCAAATGTGCTGCTGGAGTTTCCCTGGGGCTCTTCCTTAGCTTGAGCCACTGCTTTGATTTGCTTGGTTGAACTTATGCACCATATGCTTAAACAAATTCTATCATAAAATTATTTTAATGTAATGTATAATGGTTCAAATATTGGTCCAATGCAATAAAAGTACAATGTATTGCTATGTTAATTTTCCATTTATATAAATAGCAAAAAAAAACAAACAAACGTGTGTGTGTGTGTGTGTACATAGTCGCTTCAGTTCGGGATATCATACCGCAAATCTGTGCTAACGCGATCAATTAGTTAGTACCCATGTCCGAATAGCATTTGTATTTGCGTGATTTTCAATCTGAGAGAGAACCACTAAGCGAGCTACAACGCCATATGGTCTGCGAGAAACACTGCTTGCACGCAAAAAGAGCTCCAAGTGATGTCCGATTCGTTAACAAATCATTCTTTTGAACCGGTTTTCAAATCTAAAAGAATCGAGCTTTTTGTACATCCACTCATTGCACAGGTGAAAGTCTTAGATTCTAAAAATATTTCATAAATTTATATAAAAAGCCATCGGCTTCATTCATCCTTTTTACAGGATCTAAAAGAGAAAGCTTTTACTGAAAAATCAGCTTCCCAGATCCTCATCTATTCTTGCATTTTCAACAACTGTTTGCACTATTAGGCCATCTGTGATCTAATCGCATGCTATGCCAATCCAGCACAAAACACACACACACATACACAGCAGTTTAAAGATTCCCAAATGTGGGGCACCCACAGCTGACCTGTGTGAAGAACATGCGAACTCCATATGTACAGAGTACAAGGTCACACATACGGTTATACTAAGCTAATGATAGTCAAAATGATGCATCATGAAACATTTGCTGTATTTTATGACCCCAGTAGATGGTCAGATATAGCAAATACTTCATGAAGCGTCATTTTGGCCACCACTACTCCCGACAGTCAGCATTCGACAGCCAGATCAGCACGTTCGGTTGAAGCTATTTTCATGAGACTCCTAGACCCGTAGGGGATGTTTAGGATATGATGTATTGATATATTATTATTTCTTATTTAAGATGCATATAATTTCATTACTGGTCACGGTATCACTTTTTTAATTAATACGTTTCGTTTGGTACAAGTTGCTAATTTCCCCAAATCCTATTTTTCCGGTTGGATAATGGTATTTTATTAGGTTGAGCGATTTTAGTGAACGTGAGGTTTTTCAGGAACGCATTAGTTGCATTGCGGCAGGACTGACTTATTAAAAGATCAAATTTAGTAACTCATTTCCATTAGGTTTTAAGATGCATATAAAAGCCTTCATATTCACAAACTTTCATAACGTAGAATAGTAGTCGCCAACTCATCTACAACTGTCCCTAGGGTGGACATAATTTTGTATCAAGCATGTAGTTCCCCAGATTATTTTCTTTGTAGGATTAGCTCTCACTGCAAGCAAGTATAGAGGCCCGTGACATGCAGTGGCGTAATGTAACAAGTCAGTGGACAGCGATCTGTTTTAGTAATACAGTACAGAAGGCAAGCAGGTTGCAGCCGGGATGCTTTTGACAGTGAGCCAGTACGTTATTTTCACGTGTCGCGGGGCGTGGAAAAGGCGCCTACGCATGCGCAGACACGCTGACGCCGAGACACTGGACGTATACATCGCAAACTTAAGCTACGAGAAGGTGATTTAACGTTTGTTTTTTCGTTTATGACAGCGGTAGCATCGGTTATTTCGACGGTGAAATAGACGGGATGTTCATCTTCTTGGTTCTTTGTCCAGGATCTGAAGGGTTTTCGATGTTTGCGGTTATTACTAGAGTAACTGGCTAGTTTCAGTGTTAAAACTGACAAAGTCAGATTTAATTTCTCTGCAATATAACATTATATTTAATATTAGTAAATGGTCAGTTGAAAAGCTCAAGATGTACCAATTGACAAAAAAATGATAATTAACAATATTCGTTTCCTCTGTCGCAGTTTGGCTGCGATGTTGTTGATTAAGTGTTGTTTTGGGACTTGTAGTTTTTGCGTCGCGCTGATTCGTTGGCTGGGGAGACATAGAGTTATTGGTTGGACTGAATTTCCCACAAGGCAACGGGCCCCTTTGTGATTGAGAATAAAATCAACTTTGTTTTTGAACAATGGCGTTTGTCGATACATTCCAACTAGATGCTTTGGGTAGGGATATAGTCCCTTCTGGCATGAAGCTTTCATAGCTTTAAAATGTGACCCAGGTACCATTGAATCAGTCAGTGAGGTCGCGTGAAGCTTTTCGGGTCATGTGAAACACTGGAGATTACAGAGTAGCGTGACAGTAATGTGTGCTGTGTCCTGGACCCCCACAGGCCCCGAGCTGTGTTTAATTCAGCAGAATGTCCGGATTTCTGGATAGTATCCGGTGTGGCGAGTGCGATTGCTCAGTGGACTGGGCGGAGAAGAGGAACACCGTCGCCTCTATAGCGGCCGGCATCCTGGTGCTGATATGTCTTTTTCTCGTACAACGGATAGATGTTTAACTGCCTTATTTTTGATACATTAGCACGATCTGTAGTTTGCTTAAATGCCTGCCATGACTGCTGTGTTACTGTATGGCCATGCGCCGGAAGGCGAGTGCGGAGCAAAGTCCAGGGTGCTGATATCCCCCGCCCTCCTTCTCCTCCTCCCTTCTCCCTCTCCCTCCCTTCTCTCTGTCCCATCTTCTTCTCCCCCCTTTCCCTCCCTGTCTCTCACTCTCTCTCATTCTGCAGTTTTTCACTGGCTGGTGGATCATTATCGATGCAGCAGTGATGTACCCCAGCAATACCCTATTCAACCACACTTACCACGTCTGTGGAGTAATTGCTACTGTGGCTTTCCTCATGTGAGCACCGCTCTGGTCGGGCAGGGTGGGAGCGCTGTTCTAGAGTGCGAGGAGCATTAACTCTCTTCTCCGTTGACAGGATCAATGCAGTATCCAATGGCCAGGTGCGAGGGGATAGCTACAGTGAAGGCTGCATGGGGCAGACAGGTGCGGTTCTGGCTGTGACTGAGATCCCAGGCCGTGCGCCTGCCTGCCGTCCCTGTGAGCTGTGTGAGGATTCAGCCCCTATTTGTCACCGTCTCTCACAGGTGCCCGTATTTGGCTCTTCATCGGCTTCATGTTGGCCTTTGGTTCCCTTATCGCCTCCATGTGGATCCTGTTCGGTGTCTTCGTCGTGCACCGTAAGTGCGCCTGGCCTTCTGGGCTGGTCTGGAGCACTGCACTGGGGGTTGCTGATCTTCAGTTTGTACACTGATTATTCTTACAGTGGGATGACGTTAATGTACCATGCTTCTCTTTCAGATAAGGATACCGTGTACCCAGGCATTGCTATTTTCTTCCAGAACGCTTTCATTTTCTTTGGGTGAGTCTCCTTTAACCTACATTGAAGTTTGTCTCTCCGGATTTCTCAGCTCTGCTTACACTTCCTGTAGGAGGCTTCGCCGCAGGCTTGTGTGAGGCTTTTCTCTGTGACGTGAAGAGCAACTGTTTCCCCTGTTTTCCGTGCTGGCTCCCTTTAAGGATGATTGTGTCTGCTCTCTCCTTCAGGGGTCTGGTGTTCAAATTTGGTCGCACCGAAGACTTGTGGCAGTGACCTGCTGTCTGTCACCTAGTGGGATGTTCCACTGATGCCTGTGTGTACATAAAGCTTCAGCGTCTCTCCTTTTCTCATCCTCCACCTTCTCCTGCCCCCTCCAATGCCACTCCAGACGTGCTGCCTCCATAAGCTCTTGGTTGAGAAACTTCTGGGTTTAGAAGTTGGCTTATACCCCACAGTAACCGTGTGGCTTTTTATAGAGAGATGTCCAGCCGCACAGTCTTCTTCTGGATGAGTAAGCTCCCGTTTCCCAAGGGAGTCTCTCTGTCAGGCCTTTCTGTGTTTGCCACAATGTTCAAAATAATGTCTCTAAGAATGCTGTCTGAAACAGAACTTTAAGCAATAATTTGAAGTTTTCAGTGCTGTGACAGTGTTTTTGACCTGAAGTCTCCCACTGTTTGGTTAAATGTATAAATTTACAGTCCAGGCGGGTGGAGCAGCTTCTCTGCCCACACTGAGGTACTCAAGCGCTCTTTTTGAAGTTCTCATTCTCTGAGATGTTTCCACTTGACATTGCTGGCTGTATGTTGTCTGTTCCTTTCATCAGTGAAACTCCTTCACTTGCTGTACAGCAGCAGGTGGAACAGTCTGTACATGCTGAGCTCTGATGTCATGACACGTTTGGGGTAGTCCTCATTCTCACTCTGAGCAAGCCAACGTCTTTCTGCCTTTTTTTCTTTTTAGAAAGTTTCATGTTCTCTCTAGTTGGTCTTTTATTAAATCATGTGCACATGGTGTATGCTGAGTTTAATTCTCTTTGGGGTCCCTTGACAAACTGACATGACCTTTGTTATGCTGACACTGTCAGCATCCGGCACACAGCATGTGTTCAGTCTGTGTGGGACGTGGTGGTTGGGTGACAAGGTGCTTAATGCTGAATACTCTCCGTAAGCAGCAGTGAGGCCTGCTGCTCATCCTCATAATCAATCTTAATGTTTATTTTCTGTAAACTTTCTACATACTTGGGCGTCTTACTGGTTTTTTTTTAGAATGTAAAAGCTCTATAACAGATTAAAACATGCAACCTTTGTGTTGAGGTTTGTGCCGACTGTGTTTCTTAAAACATCTCAGAAGATCTGCACCATGAAGGTGCTCAGTGAGCCTGACTAGTTGCAGCCTTCTGCAGTCTGTGCTCAGACTGGAAATACGGCATAGAGTCCCTCCAGCAATGGGGGACACCATGTACATGGGGCCGGCACTGGTCGTACAAGTCCAGACGGGTCTGGCCTGAATGGCTGCTTTGGGCCTCTGCTCTTTCCATGCTTATGTACTAAAGTAAGATCAGTTAGCCCCACGACTAGAGGCGAAGCTCTTTACACTCCCATAGGCTGTAATTACACAGTAAGAGAAGCAGAGACACAGGACTTAAACAGGGATTTTATTGATGGCATTGCTGCCGGAGATTATTCATACAAACTCAAAGCAACAAAATTATGAAATGACTGTGGTTCTGTGGGCAGGACTATCATACTGTCATACACTAATTGGCTGGTTCTTCAGTGATTGACAACCTACTCCAGTCTTACTGAGCCCTGAGTTCCTCATCACCTGTCTACGGCTCATACAATGAAAGGGCTCCTAACTTTGTCTCCAGTCCTGCAGAGTTAATTTCATCTCAAGGTGTTAACTATCGATGTGTATTTTGCAGTTAGTCCGTTTATGGAGGTTGCTGAAGCGGGAAGTGTTCACTCTGCTTCTGCCTGCAGTGTCTCACTGCTCCATGGCCAGGTGCTCAAACTGTAAGGACAGAAACAGACCTACTGTTTAGATGGCTGCTGGCGGTGGCAGTGATAGCAGTGGAACCCCTGCTGTCCCCATACCTTCCAGAATGCCTGGTCCTCAAAGCGCTTCCTGTCCTGTGGTGGCCTCCAGATGGTCCACTTAAGGAGAAACCCTGAAGTTCAGAGAGGGACTGAGTGTCAGTAATAGAAAAGTGCTAACATGCCTTGTTCCTGTGCCCCACGAGCAGAGGACACGGACCTGTGAGCCCCCCCGCGATAGCGCTGGTGCTCAGGGTGATGAGGAGGCTGCAGATACAGAACATGCTCTGGCTCCAGGCCCTGCAGGGGGACAGGTGACCGGGCATCAGCTAAACCCATCACAGCCTGCGTGCGGAACACAGGGTGTGTGAGGCGGGAGGACAGGGGCATGGATCAGCTCTGCCTGGGGGGGGTGTAAAACCCCAGCCCCCTCCCTCCGTCGGCCTTTTCGGCACCGGGCGGCACCGGCAGGGGGCAGGAGGCTGTGGGCCCTGAGGTTGTCACATACGTATCAGGGGCGTGGGACACTTGGACAAAGAGGTAGGCTGCCCATCCCAGAATCCCTGGCAGCCCATGGACGCTGAGAACCCCACAGGTGTCATGACAGCCAAATGTTAGCTCCAGGTGGGGCTGTGGACAAAGGGAGAGAAGGCAGAAGATTATGGGATGTGGGCCAGTGGCTTCTGATTGGCAGAGTGGGAATCCATGTGCTACTGAAGCATTCAAAACTATGCTGTTATAATTCAACATGCAGTTGTCTATTTTACTTTTTTATATTGACATATTTAAGTCTGATTCCAGCAGAATCTGTAAATTGCGGTACTAGTCAGAATCAAAGTGGTTGTTATCTTCACTTATATGATGCATGAAGCCTGAGATCAAATACAGAGGAGGCGGAGTCCAAAGTGAGCAGTGAGTGATCTTTAAAGCACCTTAAGGTAAAGCAATCCCATCGTGGAGAGGAGGCCAGCGCACATCCCTGTTGTTATAGCAACCCATGGCATGTGGTTCACTGAGATAACGAATGTCATAGCAACACCCCCTGCAAGCATGGCTCCCTGGATGTGAGCCTGCAGGATGGATATAGAGGTGAAACACACACCCGTGCGATGGGCGTACACAAGCAAAACACACAACATCCTCACACACCAAGCACATCTGTGCCTCTGAATTTGTGGGTTTGACTCAGTGAGCATTGTAATCTTGATTGTGAACTTGTATCGGTGTTACAACTCCCAGGATGGACTGTGGCCGCTGTCAGGCAGCATCCCCTCCCACCCCCTGCCCTCACCATATTGATCTTTCCTCTTGGGCTCATCACCATGGAGATGGTGAAAGCAGAGATGGCGCTTGCCGCCATTGACAGGTAAGTACTGTAAATGGCGGCCATCTTGCAGGCAGGCAAGGAAGGGGCAACTAGTCCAAACAGGAAGCTGGGCCAGAACATCCACAGGAAGAGCACCCCTGCGGAGTACAGGCCAGGACCATTAAACTCCTGTGCAATGTAAACCTTACACTACTGCCCTCTGCTGGTTATTTTGTAACACTGCATTCACAAATAGTTGCTTGGTTAATGCTTATACCCAAAGCAGTAATTTTTTAGGCTGGATTATTTCCTGGAGCCATACTGGTCAAAGATCCATAAATGGACCATCCTGGGGTGCAGTGAGCAGCCCCACGCATCTCACTGCTGACCCATTCAGCATTACACCATTACATCTCCCATGGACTCACCCATCATAGAGAAAAGGGCTGTCTTGCGATCCAGCTTCTCCTTCTCGTGCTGCAACTCAGGTTGCTTTTGGACAAGTGTCCATGACATTATCACTCCGAAAAATGATGCAAAGATGTGGAGCAGTGCACTGCTGTACATGACCTCAGCCTGTGGGAGTCAGCACCACTTATTGTTGTGTTTAGAAGGCATTAGCATGCTATGTTCATAGACTTTCACCGCAGTCAAAGAGAATAATGAGGTCTGGGATTCAAACCCACAACCCTCTGTATTTCAAGTCTCATTCCTCAGTGGCCTCAGACTCACCTTCAGGAAGGTATGGAGGATCCAGGTGTTGGCTATGAACCCAGTGACCTCCAGCAGAGCCATGAGAAGCAGCTGGACAGGGTTGGTCTTGCCCAGGACCGAGCCCATGGCAATAAGGCAGGATATTGCACACAGTTGGGCCTCAGCCAAACTGGTGGAGCACACAGGGAGGAGAATGAGACCAGAAGCCACAGATCACAGGTGTTTTAGCAGAGATGGGCAATCATCATTCATTTTACTCCAGAACGCTCACTATGCATCAGATTGGTGGTAAAGAATTATGCTTTATTATAATAGACGTTCTCATTAGGATCTTTGATCAGGGCAGCGGGCTTTAAAGCTTGGTGTGTCAATAAACACAGTATAATCCTTAATGACTGTGTCAGACTGGAAGCCCAGTTTAACGCCTCTCAGGAGTGGTGCTGTCTACAGTCTGCTGTCTACAGGCTCCCCGTGTCAGGATCATTCCCTGTCTTTCCCTGTTTTATCCATCGTTTCCCTGTTTGGCCAGCAGGTGTCACTAGCCATCCTGTTCTTTTATGTATTTAGTACCTGTTATGGTCCGTAGTGTGTTCCTGTGCTCCCAGGGCCGCCATGTAGCTAAATGGACTCGGAATGCGACTAAGAACTGTATTCCCCAGCTGTTGTGGGTTTGTTGGACATTTTGAGTTTTTTTCCCCTTGTTAGTTATTATTATTATTATTGTTGTTTTGTTCTTGTTTTTGTACCTTTGTTAGTTTTCCCTGCTTGTATTTCAAGTGTACTCATGAAAAGCAAGGCCGCTGGGAAGCCAGTGCTGCTTACCTTCTTAGGCTGATCCAGATCTTTCCATCATGAAAGTGGTACAAGAACCCATTTGCCAAGATGGCCCACTGCACTGAGCAGGAGCCCAGCAGCAAGACGAAGGCCAAGCTACTGAAGGCATAGCGGACAAAGCACGTGGCAAGGAGGCCGAAGCCCAGGAAGAGCATGACATTGACATCCTGGAATCCTGTCATATGGGGAACACCATGGATCAGTCAGTGTGTGGCTTTGCCAGGCTGCCAGCTAGCATAAAGCTATCGCTACCTGCTTACGTGCTTCCATTCTACTGTATGCTAAAGTCTAAAGTTACCTTGAGTTGAATTTAATTGGCTATATAATCTGCAATTATCCTAATTAATGCACTTGTTTAGTTTGCACAGTTAAGGCCAGTGCCTTGTGACTGGGCTATCAGGGCAGGGCACACTGCTGAGTGGGGGCCGCTGATCCCCCTTATCAAGGGAGGCCAGAGGCTGCAGCCTCCGCCCTGCACACAGTACCCACTCACGCAGATGACTTCAGATCCCTGCTGAAAACTTTAAAATCACCTAATGCAAACTTAAAGATATGTAAAGGTGCCTCTGGCCCTTAAAACTTAAACAGGAGTGGGATAGGTGTCTGAACACAGGGTGGACACCTTAACACCAGGAGGCCACAACCGACCACTGTGCTGCACACTGAAGTATTCACACATTCGGTTTACCTTTAATCAAGAAGGACTGATTACACAGGATACCCAATTCCACAGTACACATCCCGCGAAATACTTTTCTGATCATTTAAAGTGACTTGTCCTACAAGTACTACAGTACACATGAGCTATATCTTAACGATATGATACGATATCATAAACACACATCTTACCGGCATAGGTGTTTGTGAAGTGATTGTCCGCGGTGACTTCAGGCTCGGCCAGTCTGGCATACAGCGCAAAGAGTGCAGCGAAGCCCATCTGCAGCAGCAGGATCGACAGGGGCAGCGGCGCCCGCAAGCTGGGCGCATAGCGCGGCGCCATCGAAGCGGACTGACTGGGGTGACCTGTGGGGCGTGCCTCTTACGTACCCGGCTCAGCGCCCCGTTATCTTTCAGAAAATGTGCGGAGCGGAGCATTTTGCACTTCTGTCCTACAGAGCAGTGAATTCAACTATTCCCCCCCCCCTATTTTATATAAGAATAAGGTAGGACATATTTTTTGTATCAAGGATGGAAATTGCGCAAGGGCATCACAATATTTTTACAAATTGATATTTTATGTTAGATCAGTGGTTCTCAGTCCTGCTCCTGACGTCCCCACGCCTGCCATAATGTTTTCATTCCAACCCTACCTTAATCAGGCTTATATGGTCCTTCATAGGCTAATGAATGTGGCAGGTTGAAAGCAGTGTGGGTTAGAATGAAAACATTCTGGCCGATGGGGCGCCAGAAACAGGATTGAGAACTACTGTGTTAGAGCACAGGTTTAGATTTTTGTGGAAGTATAGTTAAACTAATTGAGACAATATGTATTTGCACAAATATTTTAATTGTTAAATGAATTAGCATGGTTTACAACTTCGATAAACTAATAGTACCTGTTGGTACTGTACTGTAATTTATTACACGCAAAGGACACGCCCCTTAACGTGTCATGTGTTGTTACATCACGTTTGGATTAAATGCATGATATGTTGCATAACTGTAACGCCCTGCAATTTTTTTTAACCCAGGGCATGTTCCATGGCTCTGTACGTTCCAATTCCGTTTTCTATTTCAGGAGCAATTGTATGAATTGCGTCCACACCGTTAACTTCCATGCCTGGTTGCTTAAATAACTGCTCCCTGTTTTCCAATTCTTTTGAATGCAGATTTTCCTTTTCCTAAGCAAGTGGATGGGATCCAGGTTATTACACAACACATTATAAAAAAAATCTGAAAAAGACAGGCGTAAAATAAAAAGTTTCACAAAGCAAAGGGAGATTTAAGTATACATAGAAAGTTTAGGTAAACGAAACCCTGCCCACGGGGTCGGAACAAATTTCTCTCTAAACACCAGCAATGTCAATCAGCACTCATCATGTAGGTATGTTAATCACAATCTCCCGATTCCCGCTGCGTCGCTCTTCCGCGCAGGTGTGTTTACGTCATCACGAGTTTGGTGGATGCAGGGAATAGCATAGCCGCGGAAGAAGTTGAACGGTGGGTTTATCTTTAAAGTTCCAGGAGCACACGCTTATAGATGACATAGTTCACATTTTTCGTCACAACCTCGTTTTCGAATTTTTGTTTTTAACCGGTCAGAAGTGTTTCGTTTTCCCGTTGCAAAATTACCGATAAATTACTTCTCAAAGGCATAGCTTCAAAATCACTATAGGTAAGTAGATTTTAAATAAAATCCTATAGATTTGATATATCATTTATTCAACCATGTTTGTGTGAAATTTCGTGACAATTCTTAGTGTCGAAGTCAATGGTTTTGCTTGCGAACGAAAGCATTCCCAACTGAGCGGTCACGGTAATGAGGTGCCCCAGAGGTCACGTGACTGCTATACTGCAACCTGATTCGTCAAGCGCGTTTGTTTACATTGTACATGACCAAGTGTGTTTGTTATGAGAGATCTTTCACTGATATTTTGTGCATTCCTGCAGGGCTTTTTTTCACTAAAACAGCTTATAAAACAAATTGATAAATTTTTTTGAAGATCACATAATTTACTCAATTTCTTTAAATTTCTCAACTTAAGATCACAGCCTTTGTTTAAAATACATTAAGAACAAAAGGAAAAAATGATCACTTATTTCCGCCTCTATAATTGTTATAACTTCCTTATTTCTCAAGATATTTAAATGATTTTGGTGTCATTCTGTTTGTTATCTAGTTCTCTATCAAATTCATTATTAGATTTTCTGTTATATGGGGGGTTTGGATTTTTTTGTAACATACCTACATCATGCAGCGCACAATAAAATTACAGTCCGCCCTCTTTATTATTGTTCGCTTATTTGTCGGTCGGTTGCCAGGTGCGTGTCAACTGAAATAATACTTGGCCACTTAAATGCTAATCACAGCTAATTCTTCCGTCATTCGGCTACCCAACCGGCCGTCGTTGTGCGCAGTCAGCGTCGCCACTGGCGTACGCGATGCTAAGGCCCACCTCCACTGTCAGCTGATATGACAGTCATCGATATGCGATTTGTAGACGTAGAAACCGATTGGTCCAATAATAGACTGTGGATGTTGTCGACTTGCTTTCGACCCGCCCCAATTCGCTGTCTTTGACAGGAATTACATAACTGGCTGTTTATTGAGAAGCAGAAGTGGTCAGTAATTCCATCAATCAAAGATACGAGCTGTGCAATTGGGTGAAATTGCAGCCACATAGTGACACCTGCGCGAAACAGTGCGCGGCTCATTTCGCCTGCGCTCAAAGGAAGGAGTGCAGTTTATAGCGCCGTTGTGTTATTTATGTATTTGATTCGGCTGCAGAATGGAATAATAGCTATTCACTCTAACGACTTTTTCAGAGTCATTTGTAGGCAGTCGTGGGAAGGAATTTTAAGCGGAGTTAAGGAGTCAAAGCCGAGGAGGGGAGGATGAAGCGGCGCAATGCGGACTGCAGCAAACTCCGGCGGCCGCTGAAGCGGAATCGGATAGCGGAGGGGATATTCGGCAGGTATAACTGTGACGGGGCCCCGGCCCACGGTGGGCGCTGTCTCTTCGTTGGTAGCAGCGTTCTCTCACAGGCCCCGGGCCGCAGCTCAGATTTGCTTGATGCGAGTCCTCCTGTGCTGGCGGGGACGAAGCCTGCTACTTGGTGACGGATCCCCGGCATGGAGAGACAAATCTCGGCTCTGATCACCGCAGCATCCGCAGATGGGTGACAGCGGCTGCACAGTAGATTAAGTGTGCGTGAAAGGCGCCTGGGGACACTCAGCTTGTGTAAGGAGCAGTGAATGGATCGTGGGTGGAGAAACTTTAGCGGTCCTGGGATCCGTGGTCCTAAACACGTCCTAAACACCTAGCGTGGCCATCAGACTTTCAGAGTTGATACTCCTCTCCCGTTTCTGGTACTAAGAAACTCTGATGGACACGTGTAAGCTGGTCCTACTGGCTCTCTGATGGTGTCTGACATAATGGGATTGTGAGAGTGAGAAATATTCTTCTGCATAATGTATTTAAGGTTATTTTGGTGGGAATTGTGAGGCTTTACGTGAGAGAGGGAGGGAGGGAGTGCTCAGCTGAGCTCGGGGGCCATCGGGATGTGTGAATGCTCATGGTGGGGTGAGCAGTACAGTGTCTGATGGTACAGAGGAGGCTCCCCAATTAGGCCGTCTGCCCTACAGTTAGGCTCCGGGTACTGATGAGGGTCTTCCTTATGTCAGGGCCTTCGCCCGCTTGGTGCTTCTCTGAGTGCTTCATTTGGCTTGGCCTCACATGGACCGATTGGTGGTGATTTTCTTCTTTGGGTTTTGTATTGGACATGCATTTAAGAAAAAGCTGGGCTGTGGCAAAACTACTTCTATTAAAAATAGTTTTTTTTAAAATTTTTTATAAATGACTTTCTGCATGTGTGACGCAGGGGGGCACAAGCTGATGCCTGGGCTGACGGGCACAGCCTGGCTAAGCAGCCCAGCGTGAGTCCGCAGGAATGCGATGTGTGACACTGTGCAGTTGTGTACTTGGCGGCTGGTGAGCTTCAGTAAAACTCCCAGAAGATGAAGAAAGAAACTCTGAGCTTGACAGCTGTGGTTGGCGGTGAGGTGAGGCCCAGTCCAATCAGACAGTGACTTGGGGTGTGCTGCTGCGCAGTGAATGAAAATGCAGCAGAGCATTCTGGGAATCATGCACCTTAGCAGCAGGAACATGATTTCTCCATTGCCCCCTGCAGCTGTGCTGTGTCTAGGCATGACCAGATGGGGTGTCGGCACCTCAGTGGCTGTTCCTGCCAGACGCCCTTCCTTGTCTCCCAGGGGACACGTGCCTTGGTGCTGTGTATCACAAGCGTGACTCATTTGCCATGTCTCTTGTTTCTCTCGGCTCTCGCACCCAGCTCTTGTTCTTCTGGCATGTGGGGGTGGATTCCTGCCCAGAACAGTCATTGTGCACTTATCCAGGCTGGCGAGGCTCCAGGGTGTCACCTTAGGGTGTGATGGGTCAGTAAAAGAAGCGTGAACCCTCTGAATATCACCTGCCCCCACACCACGTTTTCATGAGCTGGACTAGACAGGCTAACACATCCTTAACATTAATCCATCGGAATGACTAAGAGAAACAGGCTGTCTGAGATTACCTTTGCATAGGGGTGTCTTGAATGCTTGTGAAGAGTCACTCTGGGATTGAGGCTTCTCAGGCCCTGTTTCACTTAGGACAGCTGAGGTGTAGATGAGTGGAGAGACAGGCCCCCCGGAGGTGTAGATGAGCGGGGAGACAGGCCCCCCCGGAGGTGTAGATGAGCGGAGAGACAGGCCCCCCCGGAGGTGTAGATGAGCGGAGAGACAGGCCCCCCCGAGGTGTAGATGAGTGGACGTGGTAAGAGATGCCCACTCCCTTGAAACTCCCTCTCTGCCTCCCCCCACCACCCCACCCACCTCCAGCACGTTCCTGTACCTGCGCTTCGTGGTGGTGTGGGCCCTGGTGCTGCTGGCAGACTTCGTGCTGGAGTTCAGGTTCGAGTACCTGTGGCCTTTCTGGCTATTCATCCGCAGCGTGTATGATTCCTTCAGGTACCAGGGGCTGGTGAGTGAGGGCCGGGGGGTTTGAGGGGTGGGGGGCAGGTGGGCCGTCGGTCTGCTTGCACTCCTTCATATCCACCTCTCTCTCACCCCCCCCCTCCTCCCCTCCCCTCCCACCCAGGTGTTCTCCGTGTTCTTCGTCTGTGTGGCCTTCACATCTGACATCACCTGCCTACTCTTCATCCCCCTCCAGTGGCTGTTCTTTGCTGCCAGCACATACGTCTGGGTTCAGTATGTTTGGCACACTGGTGAGTCGGCATGCTCGCATGTCCATTCATTTGCAGGCTGGAGTGCTGGTCATTCTGGAGGTGTAACCTGTGCTACGTGCATTATGCAGTAGTTGTGTCTTTCGACATGTATCCTGGATGGGTAAATACAGATCAGGGCTGCACCCTGAACCCTGTCTCTGACTTTTACACCTGCTGCTTGAGGCTGTTCCCTCTGAGACAGGCACTTTATCAAAACGTGCTGTGGTCTGATGTCCATGAACACCCCCCTTCCCAGCAGGCCTCCTGCTCACTGTAGGCCTGCGCATGTAGCTGTTTCAGTACAGTGACACCTGTGGTCACTTTTTTAGTTCCGTGTCCCGTTTTCCCATTCAGCTGTTTCCTGCTGGAGGCTGGCATGTGACTCTCACCCTTGTCTCCCTCCGCAGAGAGGGGCGTGTGTCTGCCCACAGTGTCTCTCTGGATACTCTTTGTCTACATAGAGGCTGCAATCAGATTCAAAGACCTGAAGAACTTCCACGTGGACCTGTGCCGTCCGTTTGCTGCACATTGGTGAGTCTGCCGTCAGCTCTGTGAAAGATGCCCAAGTCCACAAGCTCCACTCTGCCCAGCCCCTGACCCCGCCCCCTGACACTGACCCCGCCCCCAGCATTGGCTACCCCGTGGTGACACTGGGCTTCGGCTTCAAGAGCTACGTGAGCTACAAGCTGCGGCTGCGGAAGCAGAGGGAGGTGCAGAAGGATAACGACTTCTACATGCAGCTGCTGCTGCAGGCCCTGCCCCCCAGGCAGCAGCTCCTCCGTAGGCCGGAGGCGGAGCTTGAGGACGGTGAGGGCAGCCGGCGCAGCACGGTTCTGCTTCTCAGGACTATAGCAGCAGAAATGAGAGTGGAAGTGCTCCAGCTGAGCAAGTACGTTCATTATAATTTCGGGAAGTATGCTGCTTCTGTGGCTGCTTATGCTTCCACTCTCATGTTTGGTGACAACCTCCCTCACAATCACCCACACCTACATTTCCCTGAAGCTCCGCCTCCTGCTGACACCACACCTACTTTTTCTGAAGCTCCACCTCCTGCTGACACCACATCCACCTCTTCCTGAAGCTCTGCCTCCTGCTGACATGCAACCTCTCTTCCTATCTGTGTTAGCTGCACCCACCAGGCCTGTGTCTGAACCGGACTCCACATCCACATCACAGAATGGTGGCCCCGTGGGGAAGAGGGTCTCGCCAACCTTGCCAGAGCTGGAGTACAGGGAGAGGTGCAAGGATGGGAAGGACATGCGCAAACCGGCTTCCGTGGCCCTGAGCGTGACCAGCCACATCCTGCCCTCTGCGGACTCCCGGCTGCAGGAAGAGGAATACATGGAGACCCAGCTTAATGGTGGTCGGCTGACTGAGGAGCTGATGGGCAGCACGGAGAACCTGCTGCTGAGGGAGGAGTTCGTGGATTTCACCTCCTCCAGAAATTACCGGAACGGCAGTGGAGGGGGTGTGGCCAACTCCTCGCCCCGCGGGCACAGTGCCGCCAATGGCAGTGTGCCGCCGTCCGCCCCGTCCCCCGCGACATCCAGCAAGAATGAGAAGAAGCAGAAGAGCGTGCCAGGGAAGGGCCCGACAGAGAGCTGTGTAGCCGGCGGCCAGCTGAGCCGGCCCGACGCCCTCATGCGGTACAGTGCCCCCCACAGGCATGCAGTGACAGGCATGCAGTGACAGGCATGCAGTGACAGGCATGCAGTGACAGGCATGCAGTGACAGGCATGCAGTGACAGGCTGCAGATGACTGATGCGGGAAGCTTGTGTGTGCGTGCGCGTAGGTGTTCTGTCACATGTGTAGGGCTATGCTGGCATCCCTCACTGCTCTTTGCTTTTCCTGCCCTCACTTTCTTCCGTGTGCACGTTGTAACGTCCATGGCTCCTTGTGGGTACAGACATCGTTTCTTTTTGCAACCAGGCAGCGTCCGCCGTTGCTCCACCGAGGTAGTGACTTGGTACTGTGAAGCTAAGGGAGCCACACAGTCACACATCAGCTTGCTTGTATGCGTCTGGCGTCTGATCGTTGTAAACGGCATGTGGAACCTGTATGGCGTATGGCGTCGTCGAGCTAGCCCAACTCCCTGATGACCCGCTTGGGTTGCCCTGCTTGCTAATGCTAAGATGTACCCCCCAGGCTGGAGCAGGATGTGAAGAAGCTGAAGGCGGAGCTGCAGGCCAGCCGGCAGTCGGAGCAGGAGCTGCGCACTCAGATGGGCGCAGTGAGCAGCACGGAGCGGGGCGCACGTGCCGAGCTCACGCAGCTCCGCCATGACAACGAGCTGCTGCAGAACAAGTAAGGCTCCCTCGTGCGCTTGCTCAGGGGTCAGAGGTCACGCTCGGCGGGCGCTCCACCCGGCCCGCTCACACTACGCCCCCCACAGGCTCCACAGTGCAGTGCAGGCCAAGCAGAAGGACCGGCAGGTGGTGAGCCAGCTGGAGAAGAGGCTGAAGGTGGAGCAGGAGGCGCGCGCCACTGTGGAGAAGCAGCTGCTGGATGAGAGGAAGCGCAAGAAGCTGGAGGAGGCAGCGGGGTCGGTGCGGGCGGCGGCATTGGCCACGGCCTCCAGGTAGCAGCGGGGGGGGCAGGGCTCCTTTGCAGTTAGCTTTAGCCCCATGGGGACTAGGCTGGTTCCACTGGGTGATTGATGCGACTCCCCCCACCAGAGGGGAGTGCCCGGAGGCGCTGCGGGGCCGTGTCCGTGAGCTGGAGGCAGAGTGCAAGAAGTTCTCCCTGGATCTCAAGCTGAAGGAGGAGCAGATGAGGGAGCTGGAGGTGCAGCTGCAGGTGAGAGTCTTGCCGAGCCCCTGGGGGACGGGAAGGGGGCAGAATCTGTGCTCAGGCATGCGCTTGTCTCCCACCCGCAGGAGCTGCACAAGTACAAGGAGAACGAGAAGGAGACGGAGGTACTGATGTCGGCACTGTCAGCCATGCAGGACAAGACGCAGCACCTGGAGAACAGCCTGAGCGCTGAGACCCGCATCAAGCTGGACCTGTTCTCTGCACTGGGGGACGCCAAGAGGCAGCTGGAGATCGCCCAAGGTCAGCTCCACAGGGCGTGAGGCCGCGGCAGACAGTGGGAACAGCCCGGCATCTCCTCACGCGTCTCCCTCTTATCTGTGTGCCTGCAGGTCAGATGCTCCAGAAGGACCAGGAGATCAAAGAGCTGAAGCAGAAGATCGCAGAAGTGATGGCTGTCATGCCCAGCCTGGCATACGCAGCTAATGGCAGCGGCCTGAGTGCGGTGGCCCCCCACTACTCCTCAACGTTCATGGACACGAGTCCCTCAGGGCTGGACCCCAACGCCTCGGTGTACCAGCCTCTGAAGAAGTGAAAGCGTGGCTGAGAGGGAGGGCCGGCGCCGTTCCGTGTTTTTCTCCTTCATGTTCAGAAAGACTCTGACTCTGAGCCGTATTGCCCCCCCAGCACTCGCCTCTGTACCCCCCCCCCCTTCTGGTTCGTTATTTATTCCCTTGCTGTGTTTGCGGGTAATCGAGTGGCAGCTGTATGCACCTGGCTGGCTCTAACTGGTGCAGTGACAGGCTCAGCATTCTGCACACCAGCCCTTGTTTAAATAGTGCCTTGGCATATTACTGCCCCCATACCTTAATCTGAGCCAGCGAGAGCCTGCTGCATAGGGGCCTCAGCCAGCCGCTTCCTACAGTCACACATTTCCTGTGACGTGGGGCCCTGGGGGGGTCTGTGCCACCATCAGGGTGCTGATCGTGGCTGAAAGTCACCTTGGCGTCTGCACCCATCTTTTTGCAGTTGAATGTTCAACTTTGTTTGTGTGCCAAGCAAGGACTTTTTAACTTATTCAGTGTAAAATGTGTTTTTAGATATGTTTGGCCAGTGCATTAGGGAGCGGTGCTACACTGAACCTGGTTTAATATCGAGCAGGATGTATCAGCACTTGTTTGCAGTGCACTGCAGAGGTGGTGATCTCACTCTGAGGGGGTCATTTCCTCTTTGCTCTCAAGGCTTCTCACTCTGAGTGACACTATCTGCACTCTTCCCTCGTGAATCCAAGCCGCCCTCTCAAGTCCACACAGCCTCGCACAGTTCCATGCTGATACGGTTCTGCAGTGGATCCGATGGGCTGCACATGCTGACTGGAAGGACTGACCCAGGGCTACTCAGACTTTCTGCACCACCTGTTGAACCCTCCTCCACTCCAGACGGGATCTTTGCTGCATTGTCGCTTCCTGTGAGGTTTACAAGGAATAAAAAAAAATTCTTGTGGGTAATAAGTTTGTTTTGAAACCTTTCTTTGACTCTGCAGTAAGTCCAGTCACAGATGTAGCAGCAGTATATTTAAATCTCAGTGCTGACACACTTTCACATTTCAGTTAATTACACATTACCTGATGCACATACAGTTAATTACACATTACAGATTTTAATTGTAGATTGCAATTGGGTTTATTTAAGGCTGTAATCTCATTTGCTCCCAGCAGGGGGTGTTGGTTGTCTATGAGCGGATGTGTTGCACATCATGCGTTTTCTTGACAGTTGTCATGGGCAGGACGTCGTTCTTGTGGTTAACCACATGTTGGAGGCTGCCTGTGAGTTTTAGGTCAGGGTCTGATTGAGGGGCTCACAGTCAGGCAGCTTTGGCCCTGCATATCTCTCCAGCAGTGCCTTTGTGGGTTTATCTTCTCCTCAGTTACTCTCCAGGAAGCTTCCGGAGGCTCCCAAGCCGGGCCCTTGCGCCCCTGCCTTCCTGCCTGGAGCACACCAGCCTCCTCACAGAAAATGCAGCTCAGGAAAAGTATTTTTAAAAATCAAATTCAAAGAATGTGGCTGTAGAGGAACTGGAAGTAAATCATATATGTGCCGTCAGCATGGAAATGTGAAGGCGGGGGGCTTGAGCCTGATTCGCACCCGCAGCCTGTGTCATTGACTGCAGCTTTTTGTCTGGCTATGGGCAGGCCGCTGGTACGGGCATGTCCTGTAGAGGGTGCTGTGGCAGCTGGCTGGCATCCAGGGTCTGCACCCTCCTTTGAATCTGCGTGGACTAGACACCTTAGGCCAGCCCCTCAGCTTAGTTGTCTCGTTCCAGGTCGTTTAGGAACGCATGTTTAGTTATAGGGATCATGCAGTGGGTAGCAGGTTTGTGGAAGGAAAGGGAGAACAGAGTGTAGAAATTTCCATCTTGCACAGGATGAGCCCCAAACGGACTGATCCTGCATCTCCGAGCACAAAGGGCTCAGTGTGTATCTGTCAGAATCTCAGCCTCCCTTTGCAAGTCCAAGGGCGACATTCCCAGCATTCCTTCCAAACCTGTGGCTCCATCTGACTCGTGTGGCTCGCCAGCTGCGATCCAGAGACGCCTTGCTGAGATGGACTCTGCTGATGCCACACGTGCCGCCTTGGCTGTGCACTGCACTGACTGAGATTCGCACCCGCAGCTTTTCCTGCCTAGAACCTGCTTCTGCACGGTAACTATCTTTACAGGGCTTGTTCCAACTCCGATGTGAGGAAATGCACAGTATTTTCTTAGTTCTTTTAAAAAAGCATTGTGCTATTAAGTTACGCATAAAGCAAAATCACAGTTCAGCCAAAACTGAAAGCTGGGAAGACTTTGGTGGCTGCTTCAGCACGGAGCTGCCCTCGGCATCTTCTTACGGGTGAACTGGGCACAAGGTGGGGATTACTGAGCTTATAAACGCATGCCATGCCGCGAGATCACACCTCCCCTGAAAGCTGCATCCATGTTGAGCTTCAGGTGGAGGCAGAGCTGCCTTTCTGCCGTTTACGGGCTCCTCGGAGCCGCCCCATGACCTGTCAGGTCAGGTGGCCCCTCCTCATGTCCGCGACCCGCCCGCTTTGCATATGTGACGCCTCCCATCGGCGGGGAAACGTGTCGGCTAGGGGTGGCTTTTAAATAAGTATTAGGTAAGAAAGCAGAACGAGCCGGAGTTTGGGCACTGCGAGCCGCGGAAGCAGGAAGCGTAGCTGCGGGCTCCAGTGACGGGCATGGACGCGCTCAGGTCGGCCGGCAGAGCGATCATCCGGAGCCCCAGCGTCGCCAAGCAGTCCTGGGGAGTCGCCAGGCACAAGAGTAAGTTCGCAGCCGCCGGACTAGTTTTAAGTTTGTTTCTGGCACTTTCGGCTGTCGTGGCTGCTGAGCCCGGCTCGGATCACCGCGCTGTAATTCGCTTTTATCACTTTTATAAAGTTGTCTGGTTGCGGAAATGCGGAGTAAAGCAGCGCAGCGCCCAGCGTGCGGAGCTTCATGCTGCCGTGTCGCTCGGCTCCGGATTCACGCTAAGCCCAGTGGGAGCTGCTGCGGGAGCCGCGCTCTCCTCGGACCCCCGGCTTGGCTGCGAGCGGGCGGGTACCTGCTCCGCGGATCCAAACGCTCAAATCGACGGCTGTCCTTGTACTTCTGTACTTTGGATTTGCCTGTTATTTGCATGTTATTTGCACCGGGACCCGGACACATTCCCAGCGGATTAACCGGAGCTATAGCACGATTTTTAAACGGCGTTAAACCGCTGAGCAACTCAGAAACGCCCCGCCAAAGGAGGCGAGTGAGTCCGTCTCTAGCCACGTCAGCCGCCGGGACTGCGCCGCTTCTTCGTGTGTCTCTGCCTGTGTCTGTACTGCCGTAGCCCGAACAACAGCCCGCATCTACAATCTCGCTGTCCTCTCTGTCCTCCGTTCTGTCCATCATGCCTGTCTCCACCCCACGTGTCCCGCACGTCGGCGTCCGCTAGCTGCCTGTGGAGCGGGAGACGGGAGTCCTTCCTGGGGCTGTGACCTCCTCAGCGCCCGTCACACAGGACATCATTAGTGTCACCCTCCGGCATGTTCAAAGGGAGGGCTCTGGCCTTGTTGCGAGACCCCCCCTCCCCTCCCCTCCCCTCCCACGTGAGCTGCCTGGAGGGGGGCGGCACCCCCTATTGTTCAGTGTACTATTGCCTTTGTGTGGCTGCAGTGTTGTTATTGCGAGTGCCCCAGGGGTTTCTGGGTAGCTGGCCACATGCTTTGGCCTTCGTCATTCACCTTCACCTGGTGGGTTTCCATGCTCATAAATAATCTGGATGTCAGGAGTCGCGGGTTCGGGTGTGTGACCATGGTTCTGTCACTTTGTATAATATGTGTGATCCACAAAGTTTTGCTGGGCTTTGACTTGCCTGATTAGGGTTCGGAGACCCTCTCTGCTGCTTTTTTTCTGTATGGAGGGTGGGGGTGAATACTGTAATTTGCTGGCTCACTTTCCTCCAAGATCCAGTGTAAGATGGCCCGATTCTGCAGTGGGGATGTAACCCGATGCTTGGCTGTGGAGTATTCTGTTGCCTGTTCTTTCGATGTCCCTGACTGTACCAAATGCTGGCCCATGGGGGGAGCCGTGTCTGCTCTGACATGCGTCTCGGCAAACACCGACGCTGGTGGTCGCATGCAGACTGTTGGGCACCACGCCTCCTGCAGGCTGCTTCTCACTCGGAATTTCTTTGCTTTCTTAAGCACTTGTGTCCACAGGACGCCTGGTGAAGCAGCCTAAGCTTGCCATTGCTCCTGTGGTGCGTAGTGAGAAATGAGGTCACCTGTGAATTATTTGTCAGTTTTCACGCACCAGTTTGCTTCGATGCAAGGCTTTGGGAAGTGTGTCTCTTTAAGGCCCAGGCCCGTGGCCGCGCTGCCCCTTTAAGGCCCGTGGCCTATTGGGATAACCCTGCCTGCATCCCTCCCTAGCCTTGTTTTTGGTCATCAAAAGACCCAACTGACTGTAGTTTGCCCCCCGTTCCATAATGACCCTTGAATCGGGCAGATCGATTGGGTTGTAATCTGAAGCAGATGTCACTCGTTGTTCCTTGAATTCCTCTCCAGAGCGGATTGGATGGCTTAGCTGTCGACAGGAAGGCTGTTTCCGTGAGAGAGATCCATGGCCTTGGCTGTGTTCGGTCCCTTTCCCGGCCTGCCGCTGATGTCACCTTGGTGAGCAAGCCTGACTCTGTGGCTCCTCAATGAGTAGCAGGTTTTCCATTGATGTCAAATTGTCTTCAGTTTAAACAGTATTTCTTTTTTTTATTATTAAGGTGCAACCAAGGACATTAAAGGTATGATACAGTTAGAGAAATAGGGCAAACATCAGAGACGTGGGAACAGTGGTGGAAGAAAACAAAAAAGACCAAACAAAATAAATATTACAGGGTGTCCACGCGGTAGTAAATGAAATCAGACAAAATTAAGGCTCTTGGAAAGGTATTAAAAGGTAGTAAATGGAATTTCACTTGCTAGTACATTTTTCATCATCCACCTTAATATGAGTTTCCCATTTGGCTACGTGTTTTAACTTCATCTAATTAAAAAAATATATAATATAAGTGCTAGCAGGACCTGAGTCGGAATTAATAGCCTATCAGAGTGTCGCTGATGCCATTTCTCCGCCTTTTACCTCAGGTGAGCCTAACGTGTTGATATTAGCGGAGCTTCTGAAATTAGCTAGTAGCCACTTGGCAGTGAAATGCATTCTGCAGTATATGCAAAAAAAAATAAAAAATCTCTAAATCTAACCTGGAACGGCATTACCGCGATCAAATCACACCGAGAATCCGCCAGTCATCAGCATCGGATTTGCGTGCGCGGGGAGCAGTTCCCTATTTCATTGTTCAGTGATGCTACACGGACCCGGGTAAATGCAAACATAAGGTCAGCTACGAGCACAAACGTTGCCATCACACCACCTAACTAGTGCGAGTAGCACCACAGCGGCTACGGCAGACCTAACTGTCACCAACGTCGGCTTAGCTTAGAACGTCGGCTTAGCTTAGAACGTCGGCTTAGCTTAGAACGTCGCCTTAGCTTAGAACGTCGGCTTAGTGCCTGAACACCGCAGCCAGCCATCATTCGTACAATTCGAACGAGGGTATTGGGGAACTATTCGGAAGCATGTTCACTGACTATATAATAATATAATATAATATATATACCTTAAGTACACCTAGTGTTCATGTAGATATGTGTCAAGTTACATAGAAATAAATTAACAAATGGTTACACGACAACATGAGACAAATAACCATAGCAGTTTAAATTATATTTCTAATAAAATCCCTAAGAGCAGGAAACATTTCTAGTAGTTCTGGTGCCTGATAAGTTCTGTCAGTACTGGGGTCCATTTCCTGAGGCATTTGGTGAGTTTCTGAGATTGGCAGCATCCGGGAGGAGCGGAGATGCTACAGGACGGGAGAAGGAGGCTCTGTTCTCCTCCTGGTCTGGGAGCAGGTCTGCATGGGGGTGCCTCGGGGGGGGGAGTGTGACATGCTCACAGTTACATTGGGCTGGTGCCGGCCAGGGACGGCTCTGTTTGGACCTGGAACTGCCCTCCTGTCTATGTCCTACATTGTGTGGCCTCACAAAAGGCCCTTTGAGGACTGGGGTGACATCTCTGCCCCCCCCCCCCATGCTGCTGGCAGCACTCACAGCACTGGGGGCTGTGGCTGGGGAAAGCAATAGCGATAGCCCACCATGTTTGTGCATGCATGTGCGCGTGCATATGTGTGAGGTGAAGCATGCGCTTTTGTGGTGACTCTGCCTTCCTGTGGCCCTGCAGTGCTGCCCCCCACTGGCCAGGAGCTCTGACTGCTCACTGGTCTATGCAATTTAGCTTTAGTTGCCAGTTAATGATTGTCTGATTGCACCGTTATTGGGCAGCGAGGGTCACGCTTGGGTAAGCCATTCATTTTTGGTGGTAGAGAGGAGCGTGACTTGGTGAAGCCAGTGTAAACATTACCCTCTGTGTGCTCTCCATGCCTGGCCTCAGAGTTTGCGCTTCCTTCTGGTGGTGGTGCATTCTGGGTAAGTCGCTCTCAGGAATGGAGGTTGTTGTCCCTGCAGTGAGCAGAGTTACCTGCCGGTCACATGATCGTGCAGCAGCAGGCGGCGATCAGGTGGCTTATTTGGGGCAGGGCTTCACTTATGGCGTGCTGTGGCCCCAGGGGGCGCTCTTCCCCCCCCCCCCCAGGGGCTCCTGCAGGAAGTGTTCCTCCTGCCCCCGATGTCCGCTTGTTGTGGCATATTGATCTCACTCACCGTCTTCTCCATTACCACTGGTGGTCTGGGGATCACATACTTCCCAAACGCTCTCTCTGTCTCTTTCTTTCTCTCTCTGTCTGTCTTCTTCTTTTGCTCCCTCATCTCTCTCTCCCTCTTTCTCTCCCTCTTTGTCTTCTCTTCTCTTTCTCCCTCTCTTTGTCCCTCTTTTTGTCTTCTCTATCCGTCTCTCTCTCTCTCTCTCTTTCCCCCGATTGTGCGGCCCTGATGTCACCTCCTAGGGATCAGCTCCACGCTCTTCACTCTCCCTTCTGTCTTGGAGCCTCTGCAGCGGGGGGATCTGATGGTCGACCTTGAGCGTGGCTCTGAGAGACATGCATGCACATTGAAGGCAGAGGAAGCTTTTTGTGTGTCTGTTCTGGCAGTAAAATAACCTGTGCCTTTTCAGTACATGCCAAGACACTGTGCTCTGTGCCTGGACACATGACAGTGCTCAGTGCTTCCCCCCTGTGTCGAGTGGATCTGGGTGTCTGCGTGCTGCACGTTCTGGCGCCCTCTAGAGTTCGGATGCTCAGGGGCCCCGGGCAGTAGTTTGCAGAGACCACAGGCTCTCTTACAAAGCTGCTCTTACTGAGGGACTGTCAGCTACTTCTTCATCTATAAAAGCTGTTGGCTCTCTGGCAGCCTGCAGCCTGTCCGGGGTGGCTCTGGTTTCTGTGGTCACATGGTCACTGCGCTGTTAAATGTTTATGAACATGCATAAACTCACCTGTTTAGGGCTGCATGAGCAAGGAGCCGCGCTTCCAGGGAGGTCAGTCAGGACATTAACTGTCAGTCCCCGCGCCCCCAGAACTGCCCGAGAACTGGACGGACACCAGAGAGACCCTGCTGGAGGGAATGACCTTCAACCTCAAGTACCTGGGGATGACGCTTGTGGAGCAACCGAAGGGGGAGGAGCTTTCTGGTGCTGCCATCAGGAGGATTGTTGCCACGGTGAATGTGCCCTGCCCAAGCCTGCCGGACACTCCCCAGACAGACAGCTAGGGGGTGTGCCAGTATGCCAGTCTGTATTTCCAGCTGTTAAGCTGTCTGCATGTTTCGAATAACGGAATGTAGATCTGATTGGGGTAGGTAGTGTGGGGTCTGGCATGACCCAGCTTCTCACCCCCACGTTCCAAACCCCTCTTCTGCATTCAAACAGGCGAAAGCCAGTGGCAAGAAGCTGCAGAAGGTCACCCTGGAAGTCTCACCCCGAGGAATCATTCTGTATGACAGCATCACCAACCAACTGATAGAGAACGTCTCTATCTACAGGTGAGCCATCGTCATGCCAACTCACTACCCTGTCCTCTGCTCTGCCCCCCACCCTGGAGGTGCATTCTGACAGTGCAGTGACCCCCCCCCCCCCCCAGGATATCATACTGCACAGCTGACAAGATGCACGACAAAGTCTTTGCCTTCATTGCTCAGAGTCCTCACAGTGAGACGCTCGAGTGCCACGCCTACCTGTGCACCAAGAGGAAAGTGGTGAGAGCCTCTCCCCGCGCCTCTCCCCGCGCCTCTCCCCGCGCCTCTCCCCGCGCCTCTCCCCGCGCCTCTCCCCGCGCCTCTCCCCGCGCCTCCCCCCCCGCGCCTCTCTAATTCATGTTAGATATTTATCTTCCCTGGAGAGTCGCTGTGCTGTTCTGCCCTTAACTACTGCTTCCTTCCCCTTTGCAAAGTTTGCTCTATCATACTCCCACTTCCTCACAGATAATGTGCCCCCTCCCCACATACACCCATCATTTCAGAAAGTTCTGTAAACTCCACCCAACATCCGCATAGAGCAACTTTGAGTCATTCTGTGGTCTGAACCTCCCTGTACTGCCCTGCAAGCTTTGGCCATTACCCATGATTCACAGTTTTGCCCCCCCCAGGCTGTGATCGTGTCCCCATGTCGCCGTGCCCCCCCCCAGGCTCAGGTCGTGACCCTGACTGTTGCTCAGGCCTTCAAGGTGGCATTCGAGTTATGGGAAGCAGCCAAAGGAGGTAAGTTTGTGCCAAACATCCTCCCTTATAACCCCACTGAGTCTAACATGCCGTTAAACTGTTTACAGGAGGAGCCGTAAGTGACACGGAGAGTGGGTGAGGGCATCTGTGCAGGTGTGAGTTCGGGCGTCTGCGCGGCTGAGGGTGTGAGTTTGGGCGTCTGCGCGGCTGAGGGTGTGAGTTTGGGCGTCTGTGCGGCTGAGGGTGTGAGTTCAGGCGTCTGTGAAGTTTAGGGGATGGGATGGATCACTCAACTTTTCAAGCCTTTGGTGTCTTATGTGAGGGGGGGGTGGTGCATACATGTTTTTCTCCCACGTTAACCAGCGCCGCCAGGTTCCAAATACCTCCCTCTGCGTATAGGGGCTGTATGGTGGATCTCTGAAGGCCACCCCTGTACCCTGGCATGCGGTCAACGCATTCAGCCGCCTGCCACATTCTGGAGTAAACGGTGAAGATGGCATTCAGGAAGCATGTGTTCTGGACTGGGGGGAGCTTCCTTGCTGCCTGTTGGATCTGCTTTTTGTGGGGGGCTGTGGCTGTGATGTCAATCCTCTGGAGTCATCATGAGCTCCTTCCTTAAGTGGCCTCCACATTTACCCACTTAAAGTCGTCAGATCACCCAGTGCCCTAATAGCTACTTTGGCTGAAATAACCTTAGTGGAATCTCTGACATCGGCTGGCACAAAGTTCTCCCCATTCTCCAATGTAGAATTCCTTAAGCTGTGTGACGTTTGAAGGGTGTCTCGCATGCACTTCCCCTTCAAATCACCCCACAGCATCTCAATAGGATTGAGATCCAGGCTTTGACTTGACCATTCCAGAACTCTCCATTTCTTTCTTGTAAGCCATTCCTTGGTAGATGTACTGGAATGTTTTGGGTCATTGTCATTTGTATGGTCCACCCCCACTTCACTTCTGGATAGATGTTTTCACATTGTCCTCAAGCCCCCTCTGATATGATGAAGAATTCATAGTGGATTCTATGATGGTGAGCTGGCCAGGTTCTGCTGCAGCAAAGCAGCTCCAAACCATGACATTTCCACCCCCATGCTTCACAGCTGGTATGAGGTTCTTTTGCTGAAAAGCTGTCTTTGGTTTATGCCAAACATGTCCTCTGTTACTGTGTTCAAGTAATTTCAGATTCATCTGTCCAAAGCACATTGTTTCAAAAGTCCCAGTCTTTGTCTAGGTGGGTCTCTGATGAACTTCACTGTTACCTGGATGTTTGTTTGACAGCAAGCATTTCCTCCTTGCGCAGCTCCCATGAAAATCAAACTTGTGCGTCTCTTTCTGATGGTAGATGCATGTACCTTGACATCGACTGTGGCAGGAGCTTCCTGTATGACCCATGATGACCTTCTTTGCCTGAACTTGCTAGGACAGCCTATCCTGGCCATTCTGGCAGTTGTTTTAAATGTTCTCCACATACAAATTATTTTCCGGACAGTGGAATGGCTGATTCCAAAAACTCTCGATCTTTTTATATCCCTTCCCAGACTCATATGCATCTACAAGCTTCTTTCTGAAGGCCTCAGAGAGCTCTTTGGATCTCACCATGGTGATCCCACTCACCTCAACAATCAAGAGCAAACCAAACTAAATGCCTGGTTTAAGTAAGACAGGCTCCACCAAAAAGCTCTGTAACGATGTTCTAATTATCTTCACCTGATATGTTGCACGTGAATCTAATTCTAGACATTTTTAATAGTGATGAATGTGAGGGTGTCCTAACTTTATCCTCAGTGGAAATTAGCATCTTAATTTATTTTCGTAAATAAGTGAATTTGCTGCTTGTTTTTGCTTAGATGATTAATTACATCACCTTTATCTATATAATTTGAAAGAAGATTTAATACAGAATGGATACGAGTCAACAGGTCCATGCCGTTAAACTGTGTGTGTCTCATGGTCAGGGTGTCAGTACCCCGTGTCACATGGGCAGGGTGTCAGTACCCCGTGTCACATGGGCAGGGTGTCAGTACCCCGTGTCACATGGGCAGGGTGTCAGTACCCCGTGTCACATGGGCAGGGTGTTGCTATGAGGTGCAGGATGTGACTCCCACTCTCTGTGTCCCCCCCAGAAAAGGAGAAGCAGGCAAAGTGTGGCCCAGACGAAAAGGGGGGCAGTAACTCGGCATCGCAGAGCTCGGCCAGCCTGAGGGGAGGAGGTAAGACGCCAGTCCGTTTTGGGGAGGCAGGATAAAATGGCGACTCGCAGCCCAGCAGAGGAACTGCAACTGTGTGGCTCCCCCAAGGCTCAGGGCGTATGCCTTACTGCCCCCCCTGGGAAGTTGCCCCCACCAGTGCGATCCCCCTGATAGTGGAATCCATTAGCAGCAGACTGCCCCCCACCCCCCGCACTTCCTGTTAGTCACTGCAGCAGCACATGCTGGTGTCAGCTGTCTATTCCTGACAGCCCAGAGGTTCCTGCTGCCTCAGCATGGGGGCCCAGAAGGACACGGGGACAGAGAACCCCCCCCGGGACAGAGAACCCCCCCGGGACAGAGGCACTGTCTCCTTCAGCTTAATACTGACACATGATAGCTGTGGGGGGTTAGGGTTGGTATCAGTTAAGTCACGCGGGGGCAGGGGGCACACCTGCCAGAGACCATCTAAACGTGTGTGTGTGTGTGCGTGTGTGTGTGTGTGTGTGCGCGTGTGTGTGTGTGCGTGTGTGTGTCTGTCTGTCTACAGTGCAGTAAAACCTGATTATTTTTAGATTATGGGGTCATTTTTCAGGTCCCCAGACTATAAACCACACTTTTATAAAAATCTGTGAGTGCAATCGAACTAAATGTAGACGGTCCCTACAAAGGTATGAATACAAACGTGTGTCTGTGTCTGCCTCACAGATGTGGCCACAGAGAATCTGCTGGGTCTGGAGGGGGGGGCTGCCGCTGTCTCTCACCCTGATCAGGGCCTCACTACACATGCTGCAGCCAAAAACAACAACATGCTGTGGGTAAGGGTGACACACGCCTGCACACGGCCCATACACAGCCCGCCTGGGACCCACACAGGGCTCTCAGCATCCCCCCCCTCCGCGGTAGATAACATTTTGCAGAAGCAGCACATGGGAGCCTGGTGTACCCACTTTGTCAGATTAAAGTTCTGTGAGCACAGTGCAGCACAGCACAGCACAGCCTCCTGTGATCACATTGTGATGGCTGGCTGCCCCCTGGCAGCTTTGCTCCGCCATAGCGCAGTCCTGACACCCCCGTCCTACAGCGAGGGGCAGGAGTTAGTCCTGTTGTTGTTTCCTAAGGACCTGTGTCTGTCTCTCCACACAGGAGCTGGACGATGGTCTGGATGAAGCCTTCTCCAGGTGTGTCTGTCGGCCACCAGCAGGGGGCACTGTGACACTCAGTGGTTCATGTGTGGAGTTTAAATGATGTCAGAACATTATTGGTCGTAACAGGATGAGGTTCTTATTGAGACGGAGAAATGTGAGCCAGCCTCAGGGTGGGGCTGAGGCGTCTGATGCTGGGTTTGGGCTGGGTCTCCATTAACAGAGACGCATGGCTGCACTTTATGCCGTCAGGTTCTTTTGAGGGGGAAGCTCTCGGAAATTGTGTCTGAGTATATGCTGTGTGAGGAGTGGCAGGGTGTGTGTGTGTCTCTCTCCTGTTTCCTTCCTCTGCTGCATTCTGCCTCGGTGCTCAGAAGCTTCCGGAGTTTGCAGTAGGGCCTGCTGCTTAGGGGTAAGCATAAAGCCAGCTCCATCCCTGATGTGCCGTGTGTGACGCAGGGAGAACTAGGATCTGAACCCCACCCCACCCCCCCGCCTCCTGCTCACAGCTGTAGTGAGAGAGGCCCCAGGGCGCGGCTGAGAAATCAGGCTCACCCCCCTCCCCTGAAACGGGTCACCCCCCTCTCAGCTCTGTAGCTGCTTTTGACCCCATTTTATTTCCTTCCAGTGATTCCCTGCCCACCTGGCTAAGGCTAAGAGTAACATAAGCAGTGATTTCCCCAAAGTGTATCTGCTGGACATTTTGTGCGACAGCACCATCTACTGGCCACTGGAATGACAACCTCAAAACCAGAAAGGAGAGACGTCCTGTTTTCCCGCTAAGTGGCCGGTGCTCCTCGAACCCTGCGTAAGCCCTGTAGTTTCCCGGAACCCGTGCCGCAGCCTGCATAACTCAGACGGCCAGCATCGTGCGAGGGGCTCGGAGTCCTGCGATGGTACGAGCCACAGCACACAGATCGAGCACATCCTCATCCATCTTGTTTTGGCCTTCCGTCTCCTGCTGGTGCCAGGGACTCCATGTGCAGACATGCTGTCCGCCGTCTCTCTGCTGTCGCCCTGGTAACAGGGCTTTGCCCGGCACCAAGAAGTGAATGGCAGCAGCAGACTGACCCAAACCCCATTACCGTCGGTCAAGAAATAAATCACCCTCTGATTAGAGGAACCTTCTATCCCGTGACACAGCTGTCCCTAAGCAGCAGATCGGTGAATATGTTACTGCTGCTGACTCCTAAATTCTGCTTTTTAACAATAGGTGGCACCACTAGTGTGTGAGAATCACTGTGGAGCTCTGCCCTGTGGGGAATGGGCCCATTGCCACGGTAACGGCCGAGCTGAAGGTGCCCAGACGGCATTTCCATAGCAGCAGTGTCAGGGGGGTGTGCATGCGGCCAAATGAGAGGATGGATGTGCAGTGGCATACAGCTGCATGGGTGACTGGCCCCCATGTGTTCTGTTCCTGTCACGGTGCCCCCCCTGCATCTCCCACCAAGGTTCCTGTCCTGTGTCATTGCCTGTATTGTCCATGTCCTCAGCGCCCATCTGCCTTGCGGGGTCCTCACACTCTGCATGTGATGGTGACGTGTAGCCTCCTGCTGTGGGGGTCCTGGGGATGGATTCCCTGACCTGCCTTTCCCCGCAGACTCGCAGAGTCACGCACCAACCCCCAGCTGCTGGACATTGGAGTGAATGCACAGGACCTCAGCGCTGAGGAGTGCCCCTCCCCCATGGACTGGGACAAAGCCGAGGCAGCCGCCGGAGACAAGGATGACATCATCTTCAACTTCTGAGGGACTGTGAAGGAATGGCTCAGTGCTGCCACCTTGTGGCTGGGCACCCAAAGGGGAACTCTACATAGTCCTAGAGCTCTGACCAAAGCAATATATATTTTCTTTTTTCTAAACATGCAATAATTGCAGATGTGGTGTTACAGCTAAAGACAGTGTTTATTTTAATTCTTTCAATTGCTTGTATATACACATTTATAAAAAACAAGTTTGTATAATATAAAACATTAAAGTGTCCCAGCCCCCCCTCCCGTTTGCTTTCGGAGGGGTCTCTGTGCTGCTGTTTACTAAGAGTGCGTGGGGAGGGGAGGGATCCGAGCCTCCTTAGGGGGGAGACAGGGTGCTGGAGCTGCTCCACCAGTGTCTGCCTGATTCCTGGGCCGAAATGAACCCCACCCACCCTTTGGGCTGCGTGAAGACCACACCCTGGAGTGGGCTGGCTATCCGGTCATGGTTACGAAAAGGTACTATAAAAGATTTTTTGCAGGACCGATATGCGAAAGACCCACTTTGGTTTATCTATATTCTGACAGTCCATTTGATGCCGTGTAGCACAGGCTTAGGTACAGACTCCTCTGCTCTCTTTGGATCCATAGACTTTATTAAAGTGCATCAGTCTAACAAGCCATGGTCTCCAGGGCTGCTGCTTCCAACAAAATGTGCTGCTGTTAATTTTGGTTTGAGGAGTGTGTTACTACGGCCTGGGGCCTGTCTCTGGAAGAAGAATTTCTTGCTTAGCTGGATAATCTGTCAGATTTAAGTGCCCCCGTTCAAGTGGACTTACTTTGTTCATTTAGATCTGTGTGTATGCTTTCTGAAACAAGCCCCAGGTCCGGAAGTTTCCCGACCCATATCAGTTTGGGCCTCCGTCAATTTTGTAAACGAAATGAGCCAAGCAGCAGCGTTTCCTGGCCTCCGGCCTTCACCAACTCCCCTGTAAGACACCACTAACTGAACGCTTTGAATTTCGCTGGGAATTCCGGGAGCCTGCAACGTCACAGCCAAAGCCCTCCCGAGGCCTCCCGTGTTTACGCTCATACTCTTCCCCCAGTTGGATATCAAAATATTACACACCGTAGCGCAATCAAGATATAACGAGGTATGACCTTAAAATGAACCAGCGCTCGTCTCGTGATGCATGTTGGGATATCGCTAATAAACTGCCGATGACGTAACATTAAATATAGTCTGAAGTACAGTTGATTGGTAGATTTCAAATCGCGACAACTCGGTGAGTAGCCAATATCGTTTCCCTCGCATAAAAAAATCACATCATTGTTAAAAAAACTGATATATTTCATATTTTTATTAGTAGTTTTATCGCTATGTATGAAATAATTTGTATGTAATTTTTTGGTGATTGTGAATCACTGCATTCTGAATGATGCTCCTAAAGTTGCCGGATGCCCTCCCCAGCTGTCAGTAATTAACCTGCAGTCCCCGTTGTGTGGAAGCAGCGGCTCGAGACGTTCAGTGAATTTCATCCACGTGAACACTGGCTTACTTTCAATGATGCGCATGATGGTCCCTAGTCTGCATCTGGCCGTTTAATTTCCAGCCATAGACACATGATTGCTGATTTAACCTGTCAATGAGCTGTCAACAGGGGACGCCTTATTTAACGATCTCTGTGGTTTGTTTTATGCGAATGTTTATCGTAATATTTTGGTAGCATCTAGTCAAATCCTCTGCATTCTTTTGCCTGCCTGCCGCACATCAGGTGAGGAAATCTGTTGCCAAATTAATCCGAGCACCCGCTCCCCACTAACCAATCCAATGGGCTACGGCGTGCGCTACTAAGAAGCGGCCGTCGGGGTGGAGGTGTCGTGCCGGCTGCTGTGTCTCCGGGGTGGTTTGGTGGCGTTTGCGCTGAGCTCTGCAATCAGATATCTGGCGATATTCGAAACGTTACTGCCAATGCGATGCGATTCTAGTATACATTATCAGTATTTTCAATACAGTGGAACATAAGCTAATTTTAGTGGAATTTATTTGAATTAAAAGACTTAAATTCTATCTGTTCATTTTAATAATGGGGGTGTTGGTGGAAAAAATATACATGTCTCCAAAACATAAATCTGCGCAAGAAACATTCTATTTTGTAGTTTAAACAACGGAGTTTCGGGATGTGTATAGCGTACTCTCTGAATGTTGGAACACAGGTGAACTAAACTACATCAAATGTACTGTGATGCGTTGGTTACTCTCTACTACGGTGAGTCTAAATTGCTGGTTCTCAGCCGTTTTTGCGCCGCGACCTATTTTTTTGCACGAAAATGAGCGCTTGACACTTGGCGCCTCATACAAGAGCAGACATTGTAATGTGAAAATGAAACTTGTTTAGCTGAATTCTGTCCATTATATGATCTCTGTGCATCTGAAGTCCGTAGAGACGCATACGAATTTATAGTAAATTATCTTGTGCGCAAAAAGTAAACAAATTTCACCTCTTGGGACTTCAGGGGCTCAATAGGAGGCTGCAGAACAAGGGGAAAACTGCAAGGGGGGGGGGGGATGGTTTGAAAACAATGCCTAAAAAGGGATAAATAAGAACAGTGAGATCTTTGTTTCTTCTGTCTCATTACAGCCTTATCACTTAGGCCAGGGGTGTCAAACTCTAGTCCTGGGAGCCCCTCGTTTAACACACCTGATTCAACCCCTTGTGCTAATTACAACAACAGCTCTTGAGCTGAATCATTTGTGGTAGAATAGGAAAGAACTAAGCTACACAGGGCTCCGCCCCCCCAGGACTGGAGTTTGACACCCCTGACTTAGCCTGTGGCAGGCAATGATGTCCTGCCTGCTGACGTACTCCGCTGCTCGCTGCACTGGCTAAACTTCCTGCTGTCTGGTGTGTCTGTCTCTTTCTGGCCTAATGTCCCCCCCCCCCAGGCTGCTATACCTTGGCCATTGAAATGGGAGCCAGCCCCCGACCAGAGAAGGGCAGCCTAGCTCGGCGTGTCTGTCTGAGGAGCAGGCGCTACAGAGGCCCATATGACGTTTGCCCTCAGCGGGCCCCCCCCTGCTCTCGCAATGTGTTCTCTGAGCAGCCCCTCAGACATTCTGGTAAACTGGACAGCAAGCGCTCTGTTCCCCTGAGAAACCTCAGAGTTGTGTTTGCGAACGTCCAATCCCCAGGAGGCAACAAGCCGCTGCTGCCAGAGGTCCACACCCCACCGCAGCCCCACCAGCGCATGTGGTCCACACCGGATCCCCGTGACTCCTCCCCCGCCCTGGAGACCACTGCGCCAGTGGAGGGGGGGCAGACCACTGCGAGCACTCCGTGCCCTGAAATGAGGTCGGGAAGGTCGGCCCATGGTTCTGCCAGGGAGGGGGGGAGTCCTCCAGACCGCCGGTGCCGCTTCGACCTGGATGCCGATGACATCCTGTGTCTGAGTCCCATCGTCAGCGATGACAGCGGCTGTGCTGCAGACGTCACCGACCTCTGCTTCAGTCTGAGTGGCCCTGAAGTGGCCACCCCTTCTCAACCCCCCAGCGCAGCACCTAGGGGTGATGCCCTCCAGGATGAGGGTTATATACCCCAGGAGGCCCTTTCTGCAGGAGCCATCAGCATCGGCTGCATCATCCAGACGTTGGCTTCCCAGTCTCCAGAGGGGCGTGAGGCAGACCAGCATGGAGAGGGATTGCGCTGTCCTGCGCAGCCCCAGGTAAAGCCGGCGTCTTGTCTCCAGAGTGATGGCTTTTGGGCTCATTCAGTGTGTCTGTCTCATTTCTGGCTGCATTTGGCTGTATTTTTGCATGTGCTGGACAGGTGCGAAGAGTGGCCAGTCCAGGCCAATCTGAGCAGAGTCCGTCTGGAAGCACACACAGGTATAAGTGCGGTAAACATTTCTGACCACTAAAGGGAGTGCTGCTGTAGGCTGACGTCACATTCATCGCAGGGCTCTGGTGTTTAGCGATCAGGACTGGCAGCAAGGGAAACGGCAGTATGTGGACGCCGTCCTCAGTCACAGCCGTCCTTCTGCAGCAAGAGGTATGAACGCGGCCGTCGTGTCGGCATCCATCCGCGAAGCTCGGCAGCATCCACAGGGGGTGACGTCCTGTATGAAGCTGCTTCCCCCCCATTTGTCCTGTCAGGCAGTTGTTATAGAGCTCCCCTCTGATTGGCTGGTGCTGTCCCTGTCTGGGGTGGCATGTGACTTTGTATGTGAGTGCACTGACTATCTCTGCCCATAGATGGCACCCTGGTCCTTTCAGTCTCCCAAAGACTGTAGCCTAGCAGCTGAGTGTTTCAGGGGGTGTGCTGGTATATTTGTACTGCCAGGCTTGCTTTTAGTTGCTGCCGGCCGGTGGACTGCGCCATGCTGGGGTGGGTGCCGCTCCTGGGTACACAGTTGGCACACTGTCTGGGGGTAGCCCTGTGATGCCACGAGATCCTTTTACTCATATTACTTCTCATTTACAGTGAAGTGTCATGCCTGTCAGCCATGTTTGTCTATTTCCTGTCACAGATATTCAGAGGGTCATTAAAGTGTGTGACTGTGCCTGCAGGTGCTGTCGAGGAACTTTATAACCTCATTGACACGGTTGGCCAGCAGGGGGCAGCCTTGAGCTCCTGCAGCTGGCAGCATCCCGCTGACCTCACACGCAGGTATGTGTCGTATCAGTGTGTGTGAGCAGCAAGTTGCCTCGAGTGAGTTCTTATGTTGCTGCTTTCCCTGCCAGGAACTACGGAAAAGGCCGGAACAAGCATCGGATCTCTCTGGACCGGTGGTACCAGCTGAACTCCCAGGTCCAGAGGCGCTTTGCCAGTGTACCGCTGCAGTTCCGGCGGAGCCCAGTCCTCTGAGGGGTCCAGCCTGCTCTGGGAGCCTTGGGGCTGTTCTGATGGCCTCGACTTCTGCTCTTAACCTCATTTCGCACTTGTAAATATTTCCTGTTTTGATGTCGGCAGTAGGTGAAAGCCTGCAGCTGTGCTTTGGTAGCATCGGTGCCTGCAGCTATCTTATTGCTGGTTTTGCTGTGTGTGTGTGTGTGTGTGTGTGTGTGTGTGTGCGTGTTTTACTTCACTTTTGTACTCTTGAGTGGTTTTTGGTAAATAAAATGACGAATGTGTAATCTGTCCTCACTGGAACGTGGTGACATTCTGAGGCGCACTGCCTGCTTATCGTCTGTCCTGCCCACCTGCGCTGGGGCTCCCCGTTTGGGGGAGGGTATAATCGGTATATGCTCTGAAGCGCGGGCTTCTCCTGCCCTTTTCTGCTATGTGCTTGCTGGGCTCCACTCTGATCACGGTGGTACTCGGGGGGGGGGGGGGGGCTACATGGCCCCTGGGGTTTTTAGCAAACTTGTATTGCCTGGAGCAGCCTCACTCCAGTAGGCAGAGTGGAGCTCCCTGTATGAGCCATCCTCGGGGGGGGGGGCGCATTTATATAAGCGTTACATAAACTTTAAAAAGCTCCCGTCTGATTGGCTGCTGCGGCTGGATGCTGAGAGTGATGTCACTGGGTATCTTATGTTGCCATCGCTGCTGTTGGCTCTGTGTTCTCTTCCAGTCTTTCCTTGGCAGTGTGACCCCTGACTTCCCTCAGCTGGCCTGCGTACAGTGCGCTGCAAGTCTCTTCCACTGTTTACATGTAGGTCTACAGTGTGGGTCTCCAAGCACGTCCCTGACCGCCTGCTTGCTCTGGTTCTGTGAGTGTGGGGGCTGGTGATCCAGAACAAGCCCCTCTGCTCTTACTGTCTCAGGCTGGCTGGGCCGTGTCTGGCGGCCTCTGGTGGTTGGTCCAATTATTCCACCTCCCAATGCTCATCTGGCGCTGAGATACTACTGTCATGTATGGTGTATAGTGCCAAATGTATGTACAGAACCCAAGTTCGCAGGGATCTCTTAAAACCAATGCGAC